ATCCATGACAGTGGTTTGGGACTCACTGATCGTCACCAGATTTGGCATCAGCAGATTTCCACTTCTTCCCAAACTTCAAGAAAAAAATGTCTGGCAAGCATTATGCAAATGATGACATCGTTTCTGCTGTGGAGGACTTTTCACACTACCAAGAGGAAGAGTTCAGGCACTCCAGCATCGTTGGCAGAAGCGTGTGGACCTTGGAGGGGATTGTTGTGACAAATAATTAGCAACCACCTCCATCAATACAGTCAATCATAGTTAGACTTAGAACTTTTCAGCCACCCCTCCGTTGTCTTGGCATAGATTTCAGTTCAAATGCCCCGATGGTTTGTCTCCAGAACTAATGGAACGCTCAGATTGTTAGGCTCTGTCACTTGGCTGGTTGCGAGTCATTACACCCAAACAACGTATGACATTGCACATGTTTTGAATCACTGATTTGCCTGAAGCCGAATCAATTATTCACAGGTTGCCATGTTGTACCATATTTAGTGCCAATTTTTTTTCCAAAGACAGCTGTGTAGAGGGGTGTGCACATTATGCACGCCATAATCACTGGTACATTGTGTACTGCTGAATGCTATTTCCGACTTTGTTTACAAAATAATATAATATACATAATATACATAATCTTAATCTCTGTATATAAAGCAATGCCTATCAGAACAGGAAATACAATTTAAATGGCTTATCACTTTCTGCAGTGATTTTTTTTTTTTATATCAAATTTCATTTTGTTATCACCTGTTTGTTTACCTGAATTCGCTGAAGGGATACGATGAAGTATCTTTCTGCACATAATACTCGAAAAATCGTTTTTTCGAAATACTGAATACTGCACTATACTCAAGAAAACATGGTAGTTAGAATATTGCGGACTGCTGTATTAAATAATATTCACTCACTGTCACAAGTTCTCCATGCTGATTGATCCAGCATCATATTTAACATTTCTGTGCTTTCACTCATCTGTTGGGTTGGACTAATCTCCCTTGGGTACAATGTGTAAAACCCATTTTTGGTGGTCCCTGCCCTCATAAGGCTGGAATATTGCTAAAAGACGATTAAATCTATATTCACTCACTCTCGAAGTCATTCCAGCTAGTAGTTTGAAGAAATTTAAAAAATGCAAACCTAGCACTTGTGCTGTATATGTGAATTAACTTCACAATATCACAGTAGTTGCTGATTCTTCCAAGCGTGTTGATTAAGGCCTGATTGTGTCCGATGTCAGGGCACACCTTGTGTGCCAATGAGCCAACCACTGATAGCCATATTACAATATTGCTTAGTGGCCCATGCTGTTCAGGGCAAGGCAGTTGGCTATCTGGCAACAATGAGATTAATCTGGAGAAGAAATCTATAGAAATTAATGTATTTTTGTCTTTATTGGATGTCATTTCACAAGGAGCTAATAAGAATTCTTCTTAGAACTATAAAACTCCTAATTCCATATTAGCATTTTATTCCAACTCAATGTTTCCGATTTATTTCAAAGTAACAGTTAATGGATTAAAAGTGGCATGTAGTTTTCTTCAATCAGTATCATTTATCATTACTCACTCAGTACCCTTGAAAGGTTCATGATAGAAAGACTCCATTCTCCAGCAACGCTCAGCAATGGTATCCTTTCAAAAACAGCCTCCAGCCATCAACCCATTTTTCTTGATTTTTCTCTCGAGAGACATGTATTTTGGGAAGCTTAGTTGCATTAGGTGTCGAAATGAAGTTTCAGCCAACATTTTTGTAACTTCACAAGACAACATCTTTCAAACGATGTGAATTGGCTGAGTTGTATTAGACTTGAGACAGAATGTTATGAACTGGTCTGTTGTGCTAATTGAATAGAAACAGACATTGCAGGCGTTGTGGTGATGCTTAATTAGATAATGCTTGATGCTATGACCTCCTGTAACACCTAATTAATCAGGAGGTTATCCAGTTTACATGTCTGACTCACACAGTAATTGGCCACTTAAGGTCCCCCATATTTCATTACTTCCTAAAATTGTCCCTTGGAATAACAGAGAGATGTACATAAAAGGGTTTGTCACCATCGCAGTGAGCCCAGCAAGACGAGGCTGTTCCAGTCTTCCTGTTCCTTCATTACAGTGAAGAGGTGGACAAACATGCCTGCTTCAGGTTTTGTCTGGCTATGTATTTATTCATAGTCTTTGTCTCATTATCGTGTGCCGTGCCGACTGAGAACCATCCAAAGTACCGTCAATGTCTTTGTTGTATGTGCAAGGAGATTACCAGGAGGATGAGATCACTGACATCAAAGTTCTACAACTGTTTCGGACTTTGTAGTCACAGGTGCCTTATGTTGAAGAAAGTAATGTTTCGAGGAAAATTCACAAAAATCTGCTTTTGATGTTGCAGTCTTTTTTGTCATTTTATCCCTGAATGATATTGTAGTTGCTTGTGAGATTGTGTTCAAGCAGTCTGGAAGAATGTCCCAGTTATATTTTATCTATTGATAAACTGATTTGAACGGTATCTGTCCAAAAGTTTTAACATCTTACTTGAAATTTTTGCAAATGTTTCACATTGCTATTTTTTACTTGAAAAGGTTCTATTTCATTTGGGGGCATTGGTGGCTTGGAAATCAAGGCGCAGCATTCCACTTAGCCATGCCAGGGTTGGATGATCATGGATTTGAATCCCAAATTATCCCTAGTTATTACCCTTCCCTTGGATTGTCTGTGCAATTCTGCTCTCTGGGTTTCACCACAGTGGTAAACATCTAGATCTGCTGACACACAGGACCGCCTATGTGGTCTGGAGGTAGAGTGTTCGCCCGGAGAGCGGAAGGTCCGGGGTTCGATGCCCGGCCCCGTCATACCAAAAGACGTTAAAAGATGGTACTTGCTGTTACCATGTCATTATGGGGCTCAAACAAGGACTGGTCGGCTATGAGTCAGTATACTGTGTCTGAGTGGGGTACCACTGCGGCTAGCACTAATAATTGGCATCAGTCCGGACTAGTACACATGCACGCACGCACGCACACACACACACACACGTCGCAATTTAAGTGCAATAATCTTGGCCGCGACGTTAAACCCCATTTCACCTCACCTGACACACAGTTATATTACTGAAATATTTGTTGGGAGCATTCATCACTCACTCACTCTGATGTGTTTTTCATGGAAATGAACTTCCCATTATTATTCAATATGTATATGCTTTTCTGAAACTTATTCATAACAAACTCCTCGAATTCCTTGTCTCACTGTCATCTGAGCTTTCTTCAGAATATGTAGTTTTCAGCTTTTGCAGGATTTTAGAATATATTCTTGGACAATGTCAAGAACATTGGTCATGGTTGACTTTATATCAGTCCTTATCGACAAGTGAGAAATAACCAACGTTTATAACATAACATCAAGAGGTTTTGTTAAATGCTGATTCGGCAGTTGTTGAGCCCAAGAAGGTATTTGGGAAATCCTGTTTAAGATAAATCTACAGGATGTTTTCTTTGAAATGATGCAGCAAACAACTGACATGCATTGTTTGAAATAAGCATGTCTTTATGTTCTGTCGAATTTCATCCTTCATCCTTTCAGGGGGATACTTATCACGTTGATGAACGGAATAGTTAACAGCTTATGACTCTTCTAGTTATGCACAGGGGCAATTACATGATGATCACTAAGATGTGATATGTATGTGACGTACTCGTACACACCTGCAACTCAAACAAGAGGGGGCACGGGTGGCCCAGTCATCTAAGGCGCCGCGATTCGCTGTGCAGAGTTGCGTCCCTTGGGCACGCCAGAAACCTATGATTGTGGGTTGTATCCCGGTTCGCCCCGATTATGTTTCTAGGTTTGTCAGTACCATACCCGTGCTCGTGGGTTTCACCGAAGTGGTCAACGTCTGAGACCTGCATCACTTCGTGCTTTCCGCCCACATTAAGCTGACATGCCGCGATATATAACTGGAATACTGTTAAAAGCGGCGTTAAACCCAACTCACTCACTCACTCACTCAAACAAGATGACCAGGCATCACAATCAAACACAAATCATAGTAGCAAGAAATGGTGGGATCATATCAGGAAGGAAAAAATATAGAAGGAACATCAACCATCAGTATTTCAAACTTAATGATAAAGAATAACCTTCATGTCCCACAGGGGTACCACATGAGATCTGGTTAGTGAGGATCGATGCCCTCACCCTCCTGTGGCCGCTGTAGGGTGTTCCATGGTTGGCACAACTCATTATCAGAGCTGCACTCTGGAGATTCTCCTCCCCACCTCATCCTCCATTAAATATTTACACTTGACAGATGTCTTTGTCAGTGTCAAACATGATTTAGATCGCAGATATCTTTTGATGGGGGTCCAAGACCATGATCTGAAATAGCCAATCGGCAATTGGTCAGGGGATATGTAAATTACACTCACCTATGGTGGGAAGTATCTGACTTGAAAGTGAGGTCCTTCACAGAAAGTGAGTAATCTTGAGACAGGATCTTGATGGTTCCTGGCAGAGGGGTCCATCTCATTCCATAGCTGTATGATGTGGGGCTTGCGACAAAAATAGTCTATTTGCGAGATTTTAATCTGTCTGAAAACCTTTGCTCAGCCAATACTAGCATTAAAAGTAGATCCCATGCAGGGCATAGGAACCTTGGCAGATGCACATTTGGAGCCAGTATTGATGAGGCAGCATTTTAGCTTCATAGTATTTGTTGTGTGGAATTAATCAGTCCTGGAAGACATTAATTATTATATATAATTATTATCATTATATATATGTATATATATATTGCTACATCTTTCAGTTTTATCTTCAGGGAAAAGTGATTACAGATTATATATTTATATATATAGTTATATATATATTACATACATCATATAGCTGGAATATTGTTGAGTGCAGTGTTAGACAACAAACAAACCACATTCTATGCACTTTGAGGATTAAGCAACAGTGTTTGTATCAATGATCCATGGAAAGTAAAATATCTTTTTCTCTTTCCAGATGAGGACAAATCAACAGATCTGAAAAACAGCGATGTTGGGTAAGAAGTGTTTTGAAATCCTTGTATACCTTCTGCCACACACACAGTAATAACACCGACACATAATACATGTGTACTTCTTCTGCCACACACAGCAATAACACCTGGACATGATACATGTGTACCTTCTGCCACACACAGCAATAACACCTGGACATGATACATGTGTACCTTCTGCCACACACAGCAATAACACCTACTCATGATACATGTATACCTTCTGCCACACACAGCAATAACACAGACACATAATACATGTGTACCTTCTGTCATATACAGCAATAACACCTTGACATGATACATGTATACCTTCTGTCATATACAGCAATAACACCTAGACATGATACATGTATACATTCTGTCATATACAGCAATAACACCTAGACATGATACATGTATACATTCTGTCATATACAGCAATAACACCTAGACATGATACATGTATACATTCTGTCATATACAGCAATAATACCTGGACATGAAACATGTATACCTTCTGCAACATACAGCAATAACACCTAGACATGATACATGTGTACCTTCTGCCACACACAGCAATAACACCTGGACATGATACATGTATACCTTCTGCAACATACAGCAATAACACCTACTCATGATACATGTATACCTTCTGCCACACACAGCAATAACACCTGGACATGATACATGTATACCTTCTGCCACACACAGCAATAACACCTGGACATGATACATGTATACCTTCTGCCACACACAGCAATAACACCTGGACATGATACATGTATACCTTCTGCCACACACAGCAATAACACCTGGACATGATACATGTGTACCTTCTGCCACACACAGCAATAACACCTACTCATGATACATGTATACCTTCTGCCACACACAGCAATAACACAGACACATAATACATGTGTACCTTCTGTCATATACAGCAATAACACCTTGACATGATACATGTATACCTTCTGTCATATACAGCAATAACACCTAGACATGATACATGTATACATTCTGTCATATACAGCAATAACACCTAGACATGATACATGTATACATTCTGTCATATACAGCAATAATACCTGGACATGAAACATGTATACCTTCTGCAACATACAGCAATAACACCTAGACATGATACATGTGTACCTTCTGCCACACACAGCAATAACACCTACTCATGATACATGTATACCTTCTGCCACACACAGCAATAACACAGACACATAATACATGTGTACCTTCTGTCATATACAGCAATAACACCTTGACATGATACATGTATACCTTCTGTCATATACAGCAATAACACCTAGACATGATACATGTATACATTCTGTCATATACAGCAATAACACCTAGACATGATACATGTATACATTCTGTCATATACAGCAATAACACCTAGACATGATACATGTATACCTTCTGCCACACACAGCAATAACACCTGGACATGATACATGTATACCTTCTGTCATATACAGCAATAACACCTAGACATGATACATGTATACCTTCTGCCACACACAGCAATAACACCTAGACATGATACATGTATACCTTCTGTCATATACAGCAATAACACCTAGACATGATACATGTATACATTCTGTCATATACAGCAATAACACCTAGACATGATACATGTGTACCTTCTGCAACATACAGCATTTACACCTACACATGAAACATGTGTACCTTCTGCCGCACACAGCAATAACACTTGGACATGACACATGTATACATTCTGTCATATACAGCAATAACACCTGGACATGATACATGTGTACCTTCTGCCACACACAGCAATAACACCTGGACATGATACATGTATACCTTCTGCCGCACACAACAATAACACCTGGACATGATACATGTATACCTTCTGCCACACACACAGCAATAACACCTGGACATGATACATGTATACCTTCTGCCGCACACAACAATAACACCTGGACATGATACATGTATACCTTCTGCCACACACAGCAATAACACCTGGACATGATACATGTATACCTTCTGCCACACTCAGCAATAACACCTGGACATGATACATGTATACCTTCTGCCACACTTAGCAATAACACCTGGACATGATACATGTATACCTTCTGCCACACTTAGCAATAACACCTGGACATGATACATGTATACCTTCTGCCGCATACAGCAATAACACCAACACATGATACATGTATACCTTCTGCCGCACACAGCAATAACACCTTGACATGATACATGTATACCTTCTGCTGCACACAGCAATAACACCAACACATGATACATGTATACCTTCTGCCACACTTAGCAATAACACTTGGACATGATACATGTATACCTTCTGCCACACACACAGCAATAACACCTGGACATGATTCATGTATACCTTCTGCCACACACAGCAATAACACCTGGACATGATACATGTATACCCTCTGCCACACACAGCAATAACACCTGGACATGATACATGTATACCTTCTGCCACACTTAGCAATAACACCTGGACATGATACATGTATACCTTCTGCCACACACAGCAATAACACCTGGACATGATACATGTATACCTTCTGGCACACACAGCAATAACACCTGGACATGATACATGTATACCTTCTGCTGCACACAGCAATAACACCAACACATGATACATGCATGTCCTTCTGCCACACACACAGCAATAACACCTAGACATGATACATGTATACCTTCTGCCACACTTAGCAATAACACTTGGACATGATACATGTATACCTTCTGCCGCACACAGCAATAACACCTGGACATGATACATGTATACCTTCTGCTGCACACAGCAATAACACCAACACATGATACATGTATACCTTCTGCCGCACACAGCAATAACACCAACACATGATACATGTATACCTTCTGCCGCACACAGCAATAACACCAACACATGATACATGTATACCTTCTGCCACACTTAGCAATAACACCAACACATGATACATGTATACCTTCTGCTGCACACAGCAATAACACCAACACATGATACATGTATACCTTCTGCCACACTTAGCAATAACACCAACACATGATACATGTATACCTTCTGCTGCACACAGCAATAACACCAACACATGATACATGTATACCTTCTGCCACACTTAGCAATAACACCTGGACATGATACATGTATACCTTCTGCTGCACACAGCAATAACACCAACACATGATACATGTATACCTTCTGCCACACTTACGATAACACTTGGACATGATACATGTATACCTTCTGACACCCACACAGCAATAACACCTGGACATGATACATGTATACCTTCTGCCGCACACAGCAATAACACCTGGACATGATACATGTATACCCTCTGCCACACTTAGCAATAACACCTAGACATGATACATGTATACCTTCTGCCGCACACAGCAATAACACCTGGACATTATACATGTATACCTTCTGTCACACACAGCAATAACACCTGGACATGATACATGTATACCTTCTGTCACACACAGCAATAACACCTGGACATGATACATGTATACCTTCTGTCACGCACAGCAATAACACCTGGACATGATACATGTATACCCTCTGCCACACTTAGCAATAACACCTAGACATGATACATGTATACCTTCTGCCACACACACAGCAATAACACCTAGACATGATACATGTATACCTTCTGCCACACTTAGCAATAACACCTGGACATGATACATGTATACCTTCTGCCGCACACAGCAATAACACCTGGACATGATACATGTATACCTTCTGCCGCACACAGCAATAACACCTGGACATGATACATGTATACCTTCTGCCGCACACAGCAATAACACCTGGACATGATACATGTATACCTTCTGCCACACTTAGCAATAACACTTGGACATGATACATGTATACCTTCTGCCACACACACAGCAATAACACCTGGACATGATACATGTATACCTTCTGCCACACTTAGCAATAACACCTGGACATGATACATGTATACCTTCTGCCGCACACAGCAATAACACCTGGACATGATACATGTATACCTTCTGCCACACTTAGCAATAACACTTGGACATGATACATGTATACCTTCTGCCACACACACAGCAATAACACCTGGACATGATACATGTATACCTTCTGCCGCACACAGCAATAACACCTGGACATGATACATGTATACCTTCTGCCACACTTAGCAATAACACTTGGACATGATACATGTATACCTTCTGCCACACTTAGCAATAACACCTGGACATGATACATGTATACCTTCTGCCGCACACAGCAATAACACCTGGACATGATACATGTATACCTTCTGCCACACTTAGCAATAACACCTGGACATGATACATGTATACCTTCTGCCGCACACAGCAATAGCACCTGGACATGATACATGTATACTGGGTACTCTGATGACCAAGTATTAAAAATGTCCAGTACATAATCAGCTGTCGAGGTGAAGACATAACACTGCCCATTTCAAATTGGGGATTGTGCCAACTCATGTAACAGCGCAAGGAACCTGTACAGTGTTCATCACTGACTGGCTGTCTCATTGGAACTTCCTGCTTTTGATTTCGTGGAAGTTAGATCACATGTCAATCAGTTTGAATTAGTTTGTGAAGATGACTAATGATTTTAGTCAAGCGAACTGCTATCACTCCTATAGTTGTCAGTCTACAGCCTTTTGTGTTATTGTTTTATAGTTTAAAGGAAGGGCTACTTGCATTAATTTCATTACCTATGTCAACACTCGCAATTATTGGGTGACACATTATTTTCACGATTTACAGCATATGATTTGGTTGGTTGGTTGGTTTGTTGTTTAACGCCGCACTCAGCAATATTCCAGCTATATGATGGCAGTCTGTAAATAATCGAGTCTGGACCAGACAATCTAGTGATTAATATCATGAGCATCGATCCACACAATTGGGATCAATGACATGCATCAACCAAGTCAGCGAGCCTGACCACCCGATCC